CAAGCATAATTCTGCAATGCTGATCGTACTACGTGAAAATTAACTTTGCAAGACATCAACACAACACCGAAAGAACTCAAAACTCAAAACCGAGAGTAGCAAAATCAAAATCAAGTTTGTGTGATAGGACCCATATAAACAGTTGAGATGTCCAGTAATAGGAAGCGAATTAAATAAAACGGCGGTTTTAGTTACCTTTCTTTTGTGCTTGCCTCGTATTCTTGGAGTACCCATATCTACGCTTTAGATTACCGGTTCGTGAAATTGCAAGCAAATGATTACAATGTGATCACTCCCAGTGTAAACGTAAAATCGTAGCATTTTGTGGCCATCGCTTTGAAACAAGTTAAGCCACACTCGCAGTGATCGTGTGGCCATAATTATCTGAAATCGTAGCGTTCAAAATGCTAAGATGTCTACGCTTACACTACCATCTAGTGAAAGGCCAAAGGGGTGGGATCTAGCCTCAGACAGCGCGCAAAAGGAATCACAGGCAGTAAAAAATTTCCGTGATTATCAATTAGTAATTTGTCGCGCGCAAACCGAGCCATGTTGAAAGATTAAGAGCAGTACTCTGAGAAAGTGAAACAAAGTTGGAAATGACAAATTTTGTTTGGAGGGAGGTTCTCTGGGGGGATGAACGAAACTGCCACATATGGGTCACCCAATGTATTGTTTCCACGGTAACAGCAGTTGATGACGCCAGCCTCACTCAGGTCCATGATTTGTGCTAAAATTGTACTCTTACTCTAAAAACGTACTTACAAATTATGTTACGCGGGTAATCTTTTAGAGGACGGGTAGCTTGCATACTAAACTGAACGCAGGGTTGTCGGAACAGCAACAAGAAGATTTATTCCAAAAATGAACGTAGTTTCCACGAAGTAGAACTCCACAACAGCACGTAACTCGATAAACTTACACGGCTTCTGCCAACTTCAATTAACCTGATGAACTTACCCGGCCTCCACCAACTTGAATTAACACTGCTTCCGTCACACTTGACTAAACCCGACTAACGCCAAACTCTCTACGCTTGTCAAAACTAGTTAAAACTTAACTCGGACTCGCCTACTTATATACTTTTACAATAAGATTCTAGAACTTTCCAAATAGTCTAATTATAGAAAGATTACGAAATATACTGCTTTAGAAACGCTTACACAAGATCCAAAATAAACAAACTACGAGCTCTCGCGAAGCTTCTAGAATGTCAAGTTTAAAAGTCACGCAATACAATTTTTCGTAACATAACCCCCTTTCTGAAGAAATTTCCTAAATTTCCCCTAAACAAGAAAAATTGATAAATAAGGAGCAGTTCAATGTCAATAAACTTATTCTTCAGCTCTACTCAAGTAATCTGCTCCAACGTTCTCTGAGCCTTTAATCGCTTCAACTCTGGATGTATAACTTTGCAAAAACATAGCCCAACGCATGAGACGTCCGTTCGCAAACTTAGCACTGTTCATATACTTTAGGGGTTCTTGATCCGTCTGTAGAACAAAGGGAACTCCGTACAAATAAAGATGAAATCTCTTGATGCCCCAGGCTACTGCTAGGCACTCTTTCTCAATTGTAGAATAGTTCTTTTCTGCACTTGACAATTTCTTGCTGGCGTAGCAAACTGGGAACAACTTCTCATCATGCTTCTGCATTAATACAGCACCAATTCTAGTAATTGGCGCATCCGTTAGAACTCTCGCGAAGCTTCTAGAATGTCACGTTTAAAAGTCACGCAATACAATTTTTCGTAAAAAATTAGCCTATTTCTCCGCCGAATTTCAACCAATTCCCTTTTAAATTCCACAAGAGATTATAGCTATCCACCTAGTTAATAATGGTATCCTTAAAAGTATTTTGTCCTTCATAGCCAAGGAAAAAAATCGTGGCTCGACGATGCTGCATGTTGGCCATTTTGGCAGATGGCAAAAACAAGCAAGACCATTTTCCTCGAAAGTATTCTTTTCCCAGACACCACATTCCCAGCAGAGCTTGTAAAAGAATCAGAGTTTCTAAATATAGGAAAAACCAATTTGGTGAACGTTATGTTTTGACCCCAGGCAATGAATACATTATGTGACGAGGGTCCTACACACGATTATCTGTACAATTATCACAGAGGGAAACTTGCTTTTGGGCTCATACTTATAGAATTCAATGATGCTATTAAAGAGGGGGATGGTGATAGGCTATTTGACCTTTATAAGCTCGCTCTCTTGTTTTACAAAGCTGGTGGCCACCACAAATATGCCTATGTAGTCTTGTTATACATTGTGAAAGTAGTTGCTCTTTTGTCAAAGTCTGAAGCGTGCCAATTGAAATTAAATCGTTTTTTTAATAAGCACGGTGGCATAGGGAGAAATATTCCATTTGATCTTGAGTTAGAGCATCGTAATAAAGTGGTAAAAGGTGTATGGAGAGGGTTGGGAGCAAACTTGACTGAGAACAGTGCACAGCGCTTGGCACGTTGCTCAGAGCTTCTTGAATTACTGGTGACATCTGTTGATGTCGACTGTACATTGTCTCGAGGTTCCAAGCAGAGAGCTCAGGGAAGGCCAGAGGATGCGGTTCAGCAAATCACATCTGACCTCATGAACAAAGAGGTCTTTGTATTCAAGGGGGGGGGGGGGGGGGAGAGGGCCACCCTCC